TTGAAATTTTGCTCTTCCTGCAAAAATTTCATTAACTATCGCTTCATGTTACACATGCATGCTATGTTCCAAAATATGCTACGTTACTTCATTCGGTGCCCTCCCACAGTATTACACAAGTTTGCCTCCTAGTCAATTTAAGAGGTGAATTCCAGGAGGCATATTGGTTTTGCCTTCACAGAGAGAAACATTTCTTCCCTTAGTCCAGATAAGTGACAGTGAGTATTTTCAGTTAGCTACTTTCAGACTTAGGGTCTTGGTTTAGAACCAACATACAGTTTGGAGTTCTCATGTTACTTTTCATTTGTACTTGCTGTCTATCAATCTTTTGCAGGAAGGATGTGTCCAATAAGGTGATGCTGGCTCAAAACTCACAATCTTGGGTGCCTGGGTGGCTCAGTTGGTTAAGCGACTGCCTTCGGCTCAGGTCATGATCCTGGAGTCCCTGGATCGAGTCCTGCATGGGGCTCCCTGCTCGGCGGGGAGCCTGCTTCTCCCTCTGACCCTTCCCCCTCTCATGTGCTTTCTCTCTCTCTCAAATAAATAAATAAAATCTTTAAAAAGAAAAAAACCTCACAATCTTGAGAAGATATAAAGGTCAGGTAGGAAGTACCTGAGAGTTTTTCCCTTCTAATCCTCCCGGTCACTCAAATGTAGCTTAGGCGGCTTTGAACTGCTATGCACTTTCCCTCTGACATGAGGCATGAAAAACAGGCACGGTCCCTCCTGGTATTGAGAGAAAAAAACCACTAAACTAAATATAAAGAACTTGAGTGTTGATCAGTGATGCTTTCGACAGAAGATCTTCATCGAAAGGGTGGAATGTGAAACTTAGTAATGGGAAACCTCACTGAAATGGAGTCAGGAGGTTTTGATGCCCTCCCAGTCATAGTCAATTGCAGACCCATTAATAAGAGATGGACTTGGGGCTCCTGGCTGGCTCAGGCAGTGTGGCGTGCGACTCTTCATCTCAGGGTTAGAAGTTTGAACTCCACATTTGGTGAAGAGATTGCTTAAAATAAAACCTTTTTTTTTTTTTTTTAAGATTTTATTTATTGGGCGCCTGGGTGGCTCAGTTGGTTAAGCGACTGCCTTCGGCTCAGGTCATGATCCCGGAGTCCCTGGATCGAGTCCCGCATCGGGCTCCCTGCTCGGCGGGGAGCCTGCTTCTCCCTCTGACCCTCCCCCCTCTCATGTGCTCTCTCTCAT